AAACGGAAGGGCTTGTTAAGGTCAGCAGACATAGTAATATCTTCGGTAGACATATAGTTCATACAGGCAGAAAATGAATGTTCTAAAATTGTTATGAACGGAACTGCGGGAACAAAAACAGTAAGAACAAAGTTACCGAAAATTAGACTGAGTCGCGGACTATGTCGCTTTCTTTAGAACATTCACGGCACTGCCCTGAAAATGTGCAAGCAGTTCGTACTAAACCGGATGTTCCCCAGGATAAAACAGCCTTTCTCTATTGTAATTATACCGGTGGAACTGCACAAAACCACCGGGCAACTAAACACCAAAAAGAAAAGAAACTGCTCGAGGGTTTTGTTTTTGTGAGGAAAAATAGAGAGGAGAAGAAGATTGCTTTCTGTATTTTTTGTATATTAAAAACAGGAAATCAACACGCCTTTTATAGGCAAAATTGCAACGTAACTGCTGCTGTTTAATTAGGCACTAATCACGCAATTAAAACGGTCATAAGTTGAACGTTCAAAACGGTTACAGAAGATTAATGCGTGGCAAAACGTTTAGCAAAAAATCAGTGAAACGTTTGCATGATTAACGCTCCATTAATCAGTTTTGAAAAAACGGTCAAATGTAATCAGTCAAAAACGTTTAGCAAAAATCAAGGAACTAATCACGCAATTAGCCTTGTCCAAAAAATAAGTTTATTTAATAAACCCGACCCGACCCAACCCAACCCGGCCCGGCCCGGCTCGGCTCGGTTCGGTTCGGCGCGCGTGTGTGTGATAGATGGTTTACCATATAGGTCCTCCCTCTCCACAAAATGTGGGTAGCCCAAGGGCCACACCCCTTTAGCCCACTCTCTATATTATAAAGAGAGTAAAACTCTCATTTCCCACCAATGTGGGACTTTGAGTTTTTTCACAAAATTCACACACTACACACTTGTTGTTCCAACAGTAACCAATAGGGCGAAATAGGCTTGTAACGTGGTTAATAAACAACAAAAAGTCAAGGCAACAACATGGGTAGCAAGAAGGGAACAAATGTATCTACAATATCTGGAGGCTACCTAAAAGAACAAATGCCTTCGTCCTCCTCAATGTGCATAATAATGAATCATATAAATATTACTAATAGTTGCAAACCAATACTCAAATTCCTTGACATACCAGGAACTATGGAACTATCATACATTTCCTAACCAAATCAACTAGTCAAGCACTATATTCACAAGTAGTTGGACAAAATTGACGCATGTTAAAGTTTCAAGGCAATCAAATATCAAATCATGATCAACTAATCCTCAATATTTATCATCAATAACCAAGAATCAAAACAATTTTGAAAAATTTTCATTACACCAAAAAAAAAAAAAAAAAAAAAAGAGAGAGGGTGAAAGATATACCAAGCGCACACGAGAACCTCCCCCCAAGCTAAATTAGACAATGTCCTCATTGTCTTAAAGGGAATCTAGTAGTCAATGTGACTAATTCTCATCATCACCACATCAATGTCACCAAAGCCTCGAGGATTGCAATGCATCTCTTTGGAACAAAATTGGGAAAGAAAGAAACAAGGTGTTAGTGGGAAAAAGTTCAAATTTGAGTCAGGTGCACTATTCTGATCATAACTTTTGATATATAAATGATAATACAGTGATTCTAACTGCATTAGAAACTAGAATTGAAGAGCTTTCCAACGACAGGTCACACGCAAAAATCAGATAAGAAACGCAAAAGTTATGGCCTGTCAAAGTTGACAAAGTTTGCAGACGCGAACGCGCGCCCGATCGGGCGAGCTCTGCCCGATCGAATACGAGTGTAGTTCCAGTAAAGTGCTAGTTTATCAAGGTCCCGCTCGACCATACTCCTTCTCTCAATCGTAAGAATTCAACGCCTTGAGTAACTTATCAAACGCTCCTGCAAACATTTCATTAAACACTATATAGGGCTTAATTACAAGCACATTAATCCCTACAAAGAAAAGGTTAGGAGCGCATAAAGAGAACTCAAGGTAGAAGGAAAAATCAAAAGAGAGAGATCACAACATTCTACTTCCTCCGTTAAAAATTTAGAATTAATAGAACGAACATGGAGATAGTCATTGTCTTTATCATCCAATATTGACTTGAAAATTCCACCCTTACGAATAACCTCATCATCAACAAAGGAATTTTGAACCACCGTTTCTACAACTAATGAATTTTCAATCACCGATTCGTCAACCAATGATTTTTCAACCACAAATTCTATAACCGATGGTTCTTCATCCTCAATAACATTCATATTATTATAGTGTCCATAGACTTTTTCATCAAGAGCCTTCCAATAACTTTCATTAGCAACTAATCGTTTCCGAATATGATCATATGTATATGGAAAGACTCTAAAATCATCTGGAGCACACACAAAAAACTCACTATAAGGGCATTCAGGATTTTCATGACAAAGACGTTGACAACTACAGTAGTTAGGTGCTGCATAAAAATTATATAATTTTTGTAGTGGCGTAAGCATGGATATTTTCAACTCATAAAAAAATTAAAATTAAAAATTAAAAAAAATCTAGACTCTAATAATAACTAGAAATAAAAATAAAACCGTCTCCCCGGCAACGGCGCCAAATTTTGACAGGGTAAAGTCGTATCCCCTAATCAAAAGTATTACCTAAATCCTTTAACTAATGTAGATAGGGAAGTAGGATCGAATCCACAGAGAAAAGAGTCTTTCTATTCCTAATTAATTAATATAATCTAGATTATAAAGTAACCAAAATATAATAATCGAAGGAAACTAAACTATTATGAGTAAAAGTGGGAAAGAATAAAAGTAGGAGAAGAAACAATGAATAAAAGACCTAGGGTATAGGTTCACCGATAAATAATATCCCAGGGTAAAACATAATAATCAATCACCAATGCGTACATTAATCAGATCATAAAGAGCTTTCGCAACGTATTACAATCACACAATTAATTTATCGGTATTAAATCTCATCTTTCAAATCTCGACTCAACCATTTATAAATTAACCTACCTATTGAAACTAGACCTAAACATCAATTCTCATATCTCGAATCTCGAATCAATATTGTTAAACTCATGCATAAAAGATCTGCGCAAATCTAGTCACAGAGCATTAAATCAATCAACAGGAAATTAATCTAGCATTGATAATCAACAATAATAAATTATCCCTTCATATTATTTATGGATCCCCACAAACCCTAGAAATAAAACTACTCATACATAATAAAAACTAAACTAATCAAGACAATTAAAGGAGACATGATCAAAGAAAGAGAGTAAATTACTGAAATTAAACCAAGAGTTATAGAGAGAGAAAATAATACTAAGAGTTTAAGAGGAGAGAGAAAAGAGTTAGAGAGATAAATAGAAAATAAAACTAAAACTAAAACTAATTTAAAACTAATGAAAAATTAAATTAAGAAAAGAAAAAAAATAAAAACTAAACTACTACCCAAACTCCCTACCCCGTACTACCTCCTTATATAGGAAAAGAAAAAGAAGACCAAGTCAACTTCTAATCCTCTTCCTACTAAACCAAGGAAACAAATTAAATAGAAGCCTTTCCAAAAATTCGGTGTACAATGATGAGCCCAAATCAACAAAGCCCAAATATCTGAAGTAGGCGCTGATGATATCATCCCGATCGGGCCAAGACTTGTTCGATCGAGCCCGGTCAGTTGGGGCTGCGAATTGGGCTTCACTGCTCCCTTTTGTTCTTGGATCTGGGCTTTCAGAATTGATTATCCCAAGTTTCTTCACTTCTTTGATCCGTGATATAATAACTTGTAAAATATTGGATCTCCTTTCGTATCGAGCCCTTAATCACCAGATTAAATTTCTCTAACTCTGTCTTGGGCTTAAAATATACAGTCATAAAATACGATCAAACTCCAATATCTTTGTAGTGGCTCAATAAGTTCGGAAATTGTCATAATTCTGCAAATTCCTACAAAATAATACCAACTCTACAAAAACACTAGAAAACGTATATTAGTAATAAAAATAGCTCCGTAGAGCTCAAATAAGCACAAATATTACCGTGGGATGGGGAATAAATATAAATATATATATATATATATATATATATATATATATATATATATATATATATATATATATATATATATATATATATATATATATATATATATATATATATATATATATATATATATATATATATATATATATATATATATATATATATATATATATATATATATATATATATATATATATATATATAATAGAATCATCATTTGACGCTGATTAAATTTCTGACGCGTTTTTTAAAATTAGATAGAAATTAACCGTACAGGAGGATAAAATCGTATTTTCCTCAAAAACATTCTTTTATTCTGATTAAAACTCTAAAAAGTCAACAAAAGTCAATTTATTAATGCCAAATGAATTAGGAATGAAAAGAACCTTCTAGAAGAATCTAGAAGACTAAAACCATTCATAATTGCATTAGGAATGATAAATCCATATTAGGCCCTCCTCTAGATCATTGGGCCGCATATCAGGCTCAAACCGGGCCCGGCTTAGTAATTTGGCCATAACTTCCTCATTATTCATCGGAATTGAGCTTATAATATATCGTTGGAAAGCTCTTTTCATGCCCTATCCAACTACACTACTATTGACCCATTTCATGGACCAACCAAACTGGATTGGATGTTTTCTTAAAATAGGTTTTCAAAAACAGAGAGAAAAGAAAAGAAATTAAAACTATCCGCAACACTAGACTTTCCACACTTTCACTTCATTCGATTACGATTTGATGTGAAAGGTACTCATCACCGGGTTTGGTTTTGGGGAGACACAAATGGGTGTCTACAAGATGCGTCCCCAACGATGAGGTTCAAATCCTTGTGGTGGGCATATGAGTGCTCAAAAGACCGCCTCAAAGGTTTTACAATCTATGCTTTTTTGGCCTTCTCTATTCAAGGAGGCTTGAATTTTTGTTAAGAATTGTGATAGATGTCAAAGGATGGGGATTATTTCTAGGAGGGATGAAATGCAGCAAAACCCCATCCTTGAGCTTGAAGTTTTTGATGTGTGGGCTATATATTTCATGGGCCCTTTTGTTTCTTCACATGGGAACAAGTATATTTTGGTTTCTGTTGACTATGTCTCAAAGTGGGCGGAGGCCGTGGCTTCCCCTACGAATGATTCTAAGGTAGTGGTTAATCTTTTCAAGAAAGTGATTTTCCCAAGATTAGGTGTTCTAAGAGCCATAATTAGTGATGGGGGGTCATATTTCAAGCACCACACCTTCGTTCGACTTCTTGATAAATATGGAGTGTCTCATAAGTGGGGGCTTGCTTACCACCCTCAAACGAGTAGTCAAGCGAAGATCACCAATAGAGAGATCAAGGTGATCTTGGAGAAGACGGTTGCTAGAACAAGAAAGGATTGGTCCTCTAAACTCATCGACTCTCTATGGGCGTATAGGACCGCCTTCAAAACTTTAATAGGGCCTACTCCCTATAAGCTTGTCTATGGGAAAAATTGTCACTTGCCCGTAGAGATGGAGCATCGAACGCACTGGGCAATCAAGCAAATCAACTTTGATCTCCATAGTGCGGGTGAGCAAAGGCTTCTAGAGCTACATGAGTTAGAGGAGTTGAGGATGAATGCCTACAATAGTGCAAGCATGTATAAGGTGCGGACTAAGGCTTGGCACGACGCTCAAATTGTCAAGAAGGAATTTATCAAAGGCCAAAAAGTCCTCCTATTCAACTCCCGCTTGAAGCTTTTCCCGGGCAAGCTTAGGTCAAGGTGGAGTGAGCCGTACATTATCACGGAGGTGTTTCCATATGGCGTTTATGAGATTTCCCAAGATGGGCATACTCCATTTAAAGTGAACCGTCACCGGCTCAAGCCCTACTACGAAGGATTCTCAAGTGATGAACCAATTTCTGTGACTCTTCTTGATATGCATCATCAATTTGACCCTCCTTGATCGATTCAAGGAACGTTGAGCTAACGACGTAAACCAAAAGCGCTTCCGGGAGGCAACCCGAGTCTCTAACCCTTTTCTCTTTCTTCTTTTCTTGATGCTTTGTTATTTTCCTATCTACAATGTTGGATTGTTGGATTTTTGAATTTTGATTGTGTTGGAATTTTTGGTATGTTTTGCATTAGCATGATAGTATGGTGTTTAGTGTGTTTTGAAGAGGGGTGTTTGTGCATATTGTGTTGCAAAATTAGCATATTTTTGAAAAAAGCTAGGTGGTTCGACCAAACTCCCTGAAGGTTCGATCGAACTTTTTGTAAGGTTTACCCGAACCTTCTTGAGTAAGGTTTACCCGAACCTTCTTGAGTTCGGTCGCACCTCCTCTGGAACCTAAATTTGAAAACTTTCTGCCAGAATTGCAGAAATTAAGAATCTAGAGTAGGTTTGACCGAACCATGGGGGGTTCGACCGAACCTTAGTTCACCCAAACATTACTGTGTTCGGTCGCACCTGCTCTGGAATTAAAAGCTGGAAAGTTTCTGCCAAATTTGTGAATTTCGAGTTAGAGAGCAGGTTCGACCGAACAATGAGCAAGTTCGGCCGAACCATTTCAAGAGTTCGACCGAACTTACCCAAGGTTCGGCCGAATCTTTGTCGAATTTTAAAAAAAAAAGGGGATGCTCTTCTTTTCGACCTTCATTTCATTCGACCCTCTCTCTCTTTATTCTCCTCCTTCTCACTCTAACCTCCATTGCAATCCCCTCCTACAACCTCAAACCTCCATCAAAATCACTCCAATTTTCTCTTTTTCTCACTTATTTTTCATCCTCTACTCCATTTCTACAATCTCCACCAAAAATTCCTCACAAAAATCCCATCTTTTCATTTCCCCCAATTTCTAGGGTTTGAGTGTTTTGGTGTTTTTGGGTTTCTACTTACTTACAATCAATTGTGGTATGGTTTTCCTAACTTTTGCAAGTTCATTTCTTCAATTTCTCATAGTTTTACCATGTTTTGCATGTTTAAATATGAATTGGTGTATTCTTGAAATTGTTAGTAATAACTTGTTTGATTCTTGTGGTTCTTTGGATTTACTTGTTGTAATTTATTGGTAATTGGTAGTAGAACATGTTGTTATCATGATTATGCATGTATACCTTGGTTTTATTTGATCTCAATGTCTTTGCTTAAAAATGTTGATTTCATGCTAGGGTGTTCATGCTACTATTTTATGATTGAGGAATTCATGAATTGGATGTTGTTGGAGAATGATTCTTGTTGTTTTTGGTTTGATTTTGATGGTTTGGTGAATGATTATCACGTAATTAGGAGACATCATGCCAAAATTCACCTAGACTTTGTTAGGACTAATATATGAATGTCATAGGGTTTCTTGCCCATGCCTTGGCTTAAATGTGTCCATTTATGCCTTGAATTGTATTGTTGTCATCCTCTACATCTATTTCACAACTCAAGGCAACTACTTTCACGCATACACTTTTACCGTGGCTAGCCTCTTATGTCATCTCTTATCAAATTGTCCTAATAATAGCTCTTGGTAATTTTATAGAATCATGGTTTTCTGTAAGAGCAAGTCAAAGAGGAAGAGAGTGGGTGAATCTTCATCAACGAGTTTCCCGCCTCCTCCCGACATAAATGATCATAGCATAATTGCTCCGAATGAGCACTTTTGGGATGTCTACAAAGCCCTCATCAATAGGGGTGTACACCGGTCCAAAACCGGACCGGATCTGGACCGGACCTGTTTGGACCGGGGACCTGAATTGGGTAATTATGAGGACCGGGGACCGGACCTGAATTAACAGATCCGGTTCCGGGCCAGACCTGAAAAATCAGGTCCGGTCCGGGTTTGGACCTTAATGGACCTGTTTTGTGTCTTTTTCGTTTTTTTTTTTAATACAAAACCTGTTGGACCTGCATATGGACCTGTTTTGTGATTTTTAGACCTGTTGAATAATTTAATAATTACATACAAACCAAAATTATCAATTACAAAACTACATAAAGTCTATAAAGTCCCGATTCTCAAACACCAAAAATACAAATGAGTCCACCAAAAATACAAATAAGTCCACGAAAACTCAGTTTCAATTTTTCAGAGTTTGGTTTACTTTTTTTTTTTTTTTTTTTTTTTTAATTACGATTTTCCCGGGTTTCAGGTCCGGACCTGAAAACCCCGGGTTTGGACCGGGTCCGGACCGGGACCGGGAACCTGGATTTTTAAGAACCGGGACCGGACCTGAATCAACAGGTCCGGGTCAGGTCCGGTCCGGTTCAGGTCCGGTTTCAGGTCCGGGCCAATTTTTGTACACCCCTATATATGGGGCAATTCAAACAAGGAAGGATTTAAAGAACCCCTAACACATCAACCAATCACACTCCAGAATCATCCGTGTACATTAACTTATTTGGAAAAGGCCACACATTGGAGTGAGTTCTCTCTCGATCATGAGGTGGTCCATGGTCTTATCATATAAGTCCCAAGCATCCCACAGAGGAATCCCAACAATACCCGGAAGTCCGGAACTACAGCATTATGCAGCAGATAAGTAGTAAGGAAGAGGATATGTCAAAGACCGGGTTTCACACACACAATAACTAAGATTAATTAATACTAATCGAAGGTAAGCTTGAGTAATTTGATTAATACTGGAAATCGAAAGGTTACAATGATAGTAATAGCTTTAGGCTATTAGTCTCGGGGTAGCTTTAGGCTACTACTCTCATGAGGATTCTCACAACAAATTTCTGGATAAACGGCTAGTACTCTCTACATTACAATTTATACTCAAGCACAAACATAACCTAAAACTAATAATGGTTGACCTCCAAAGCTTAGGGAACAACAATCTTTTTGCTATGGTTACTAAAGTGGTGTATCTTCCTTTTCAATCTAGTCTCTTTCCCGAATTGACTTCCTTGCCAAAAGCTACTGCTCCTCTTGTTCCTCTAATTCTGTTTCTGCTTCCCCTGGGTTACCGTAGCTTTTGACTTGCTTGTGGACTTGACCCGTTTTGTGAACTTGACCCATCTTGGCCCTTCGAGTATAGACCTTAATGGGCTGACCCAAATTCGGATCCATCACAGGATATCAGAAGTTTGGGTTTTGGGAAACAAGAGAATGACACAGAGGGATAGAAGAGGATGGTACGTTTTCAATTTGACAGTAACTCAGTATACCTTTTGTGGTTCGCAGGGCAGCAAATAAAAATGGAAATCAAGCCAAGACAACAATCTATCGCAGTTTTACCAATTGGAGCGTCAGCTGACACCCCATGACACAATTCACGCAATGTGGCTCTCCTAGCATATTCAAAGGAAGATCTATAGATTTAGTGTGGATGCTACCCACTTTAGTGCTGAAAAGAACATAATGCCTTAGATCTATTTCAGGTTTTGTACTGAGCCTAGATTCAGCATGAAGTAGCTCAAATATCCATCCGAATCCCAACCAAAGAGATTGAAGTCTCCTAGATAGAAATAAGGAACACAAATGTAAGTAGCTAGTAAGTACAGCGTAATAAGCATCACTTTTAGTGCTCTGAAATTATGCTCCATAATACAAGGTAATTTAGCAAGCCATGTTTCGCCAATGATTATGCACATGAAGAAAATTAGAAATGGTGTGTCAATGATGATTAGTGTTTTCATTTCCTAGCTGTAGGCATTATATTATAAAATATAAAATAGTAATAATAATCTCAACGAGATGTCTAAGCAATGAAATTTTTTATTCTTCTTAAATTTATTCCAAAAAGGGAGAAAGGAAACTTTCTTCAAATTCCTTTTTTGAAGAAAGCAAACGAAAACACGAGAAATGCTAATTACAATGTCCTTGCAGAAACCAAAATGGCATAATAAACCTACAGACATGTCCAACTAAGTTAATCCAAGGCCTTCAAAACCTGTGAGGAATAAGAATGGAAGCCTCATAACAGCCAATAGAAGAATCATTTCAAACATCAGAAGAAAAAAAACTTCATGTCCACAAGCAAAAACCATTTTAGGAAAAATGAGGTAATTTGTCTATTACTGCAATTTGAAGGGGCAAGAAATATGAGGTCTCAAATACTGCAAAAATCAATGGGCTTCTCCCTCCTATTTGATGTCTAAATTTCCATTTCTCTAACAGAAAACAACTTTTAGAAGCTTTCTGCTTCAATGAAATTTACCAGGATCCACTTCGAAGCTAGGTAAAACACCTGTGTTATTTTTTTTTTTTAGTCAAAGGAAAGTAATTCTCACTTCTCAAGCAAACTCAAATTTTTGTTTTGCACTTTTATACTTTTTGAGTTTGTTTAATTTTTTTGACTAAGCCACATTAGGCACCAATTTCCGTACTCATGGTATTTTTAAAGAACGGGTCTAGATGCTGCGACACAGTGTTTTGATACTCTTGTATCTTTTCATTTAATAAAGAAAAAATGAAAGACCAGCATGCAAGATTGCAATTTTATATAAACAGCTATATCAAACTTTGAATTAATTGCAAGTGGACTGAACAAAGATACTACTCAGCTTAAAAAGAAACACTTCATACATCAATTTAAAATTAAATTAGATTAAATTTAAGAAAAACAGGGACATTAGGCAGAGTGATACTTCTATATTCAAACACTGCATGTGGAAGTTCTGGTGAGATAAATGTGCGTCAGTGTATGGCCTGCAATTGTATGGTATGAATGAAAATGTAAATGCCTGCTATAGTAATCAAAAGATTCCTTCTTATTGTTGGAAAGAGAAGGGGGGTGGAGCCCAACAAATCTCATATGATAGTAGGTTTGCAAGGTAGGGATGCAAACAAGCAACGCATGGGTGAGACTAAGAGGGAAGTTTGGAATGGAATATGGTGGAAGAAGGGTTTGATGTTGGATAGAGAGTCATGTACATGGCCCATGTCATGTAAAGGGTCCAGCAATTAATTTCTTCCAGTCAATTGTATAAGGATAGGATAAACATAAGTTGCTTGTATTGTATTAGAAAATAGAAATGTTATTTTTGCTTTACAATAAGAGTTTGGTAGTAGTTAGGAAACAATATATTGACTATAAGTAGGAAAAGATAGTTTTCTTAATTATGTTGGAAATTCTAGTTCTAGTTGAACTACGTGATTGTTAGCCTGTAAACATGGGATAAATATACTATGAGTCTTGGTTTTAAAAAGCTGCGCCTAACTCCCATCTGGGAAATGGGAAATGAGCTTTAGCTAGGCGAGGCTCAGTCACCTACGGAAGGCGCGCGCCTCAAAGCGCCTTTGATAAGGCGCGCCTTTGCACCTCAAGGAAAATAACTAAGATTTAAGTTATAAATTGAAGAATGATAGACATTTTTCAAATTCAGACTACCTTAGATTTACATATATCATTATTTAATTTATTATGAATCTTTTTAATTGGTATTAAGTACAATCAAAGTAAAAATTAATTTGAAATAAATATATAAATACATGCGCCTTGCATACAAAAGGCGCGCGCCTTCGCCTTGCGCCTTGGTGTGCCTTGCCCCTTTTAAAACTAAGCTATGAGTTATAGTGTGTAATATTGAGAAAAGGTCTCAAGATAACATGGAATGTCTCTAGGGAGAGATATTGTTATTAGGATTGCTCAAGTGCGAGATACCAAAGTTAGGGTGACTCAAGGGAGAAACACCAAATGTACAAATGATTTCTTATTGATAACAGGTTTGATAGATGATTAAAGTTTGGGAGGACGATTCCTCCTTCCTTATAGGTTATTGTGCCACGGCCCACCATTGTTAATTTGTTATGTATTTGTCTATTTCTAATTGTTTCCATATTGTTTACCATTTGATAGAGACATACATGTCCTGACACTTCAACATCAATCTTTGCCAAGACCAATAGACAATGTTGCTAAATAACTTCAAAGACAGCCTTTACAAGTATATGCAACTATCAAAGACTACAAATCAACTCCTATTAGACAATCAGTATGGACCATACTTCACATATTATAACCAAAAATACAGTACTCTGCAGTATCTTTAATTAACAATCATTGAGGAAAGAATTTACTAAGGCACCTTTCAGTAAAGAACTGTGGAGGTGTTCTAAAATCACCATCAGAGATGTTTAAGACCAATCGATAAACGCTTGGAAAAAGGAGGGACAAGAGACTTAAATTAAGATGTATTAAATCTGTTTTTAGTTTAATTTCAATTATAAACGGAACAAATAGAAGCATTCAGAATAATAAAGATTAAACACACATTTTGCATCACCTTTAAATTTCTTATCATCCCGACTTGAGAAGTTTACATCACTACCAGCAGCAGCTTGCAAAGGTTCATTCATTTTGGGTTGCTGGGCATCAACATAAGTTGGTGAAACTTGTAAAGCATTGTTTGCACTAGGAGAACCTGCAAAAAAATTTCAAAATTACTCCCAGCTCAGAATCCAGCAGTGAAGTACAGAAGAAAAATCCTGTTTGTTGGCAGCAGCCAGCAAATACTATATGAGAAGCAAATTGCGAATCAAAGTGAAATAGTTCTAAGCTGTCGTAATCTTCTGTGATATATCAATGTACATTTATTCCAGTGTAGACGAAGCTGGTTTGTAAAAAAAAAAAAAAAAATAAATAAATAAAACCATAAAAGATCCTATAAATTACCACTATAAGTTATGTGAGCATCTACAATGCCAAATCAAGCTTCGACTTTCATAGAGTTTAAAGGCGCAACACAAACTTTACGTTTGAGTTAAAAATATGCACCAGCCTGATGGCATGTTTTATTTTTTAAAAGGAAAAAAGAAAGTGTATTGATCAGATGAAATAAAGAGTACAAAACAATGAGGACAAATCTTCTAAAAGGAAACCAATTTTCATATTAAGCCGGTTTCTTTGAACCTCAACAATTGAGAACCTCTCAAAAATCCCAGCCCCCTTGCCCATAACAATGCTATTCAAATCATTTGTCCCGTTATAATTGACAAGACATAAGACTTCTGAAAAGAACCTTGAAGTAGGCTCCTACCAATCATACCACAAGATTTCTACAGAAGCATTGTGCCACAACTTCTTCTCCTTAACAATTACTTACCCATACCAAACCCTCCAAAACTCACCAATCCACAACCTCTAAAGGGAAAACCAATTCCTCATACAAAGAAAACGGCCCCCTCCAAAGATATCTTGGCACATCAAATGTAGAGATACATGTGAACAAGGATTACTAGCAGATCCCCAGAGCATAAGAATGTCTGGTGAAATCACCAAACCCGGCCTTCTCTTTTAGAGCATGTTGACAGTATTATTACAGCCCACTGCCAAAGTCCATGCAAAGGCCCTCACACTAAGAGCTCACCTTCCAAATAAATTTTGTTGTCAAAGAGGCTGGATAGTGAGGGATTGAGGGGATTAAATCAAGTAGCTTAGAAACAATTTACAAGTAAATAGGGCTTGAGAAGTTGCCCCATCCACACCCTAGAGTCTCCATTGCAGATAATTGAAAGTCCAAAATTTCCATTAAGGAAAAATGCTCCTCCAATTCCCTGTCATGTATATCCCAAGCATCATTGCATTAAAAGCATGACACCTGGTGCATTATGTAGAAGAAAATTGGAATAAACATGGGAAGCAAATACAAAAAGGTTGATCTCACCAAAATCTTGCCAAAGACAAAGCGAGAACCCACCCTATTTTGAACCTCGTTTAAACTGAGAAGAAAGGGTAAGTGGGTAACACATGTGAAATGAACTTTTAAGGGCACAAATGTGAACGCATGTGTCACTCTCACAGCTACTAATGCAACCCGTATTTGCCCTTGATAACTCTATTCTGAAAGAAATCAAAATTGCAAGAAAACGCGATAACCATATTTCAAGAACAGCAATATCTCATCTCCTGACACCAATATACCCTAAATCCTAATTCTCCCTCGTCCTTAGTACGACACACCAAATCCCAACTCACTGTGTGTGCACATCACAAGACCAAAGCCAAAAAGGTCCATCGCCTTATTCTCATCTTACTTGCAAACATTGCAATCAAAACCAAATCCAAAACTTTGAATAAATAGTAGAGAAGGATAATAGACAAACATGATTGAACCCACGCGGAGAAAAGTAGACCTTTTTTCCACCCATTATTTCTCGTTGGAATCCACAAAAGGATTCCAAATGTAGGTTTTCCAATTTGCCTCCAAGAGACAAACCCAAATAACTAAGAGGCCACCACTCAATCTAATACCCAACTATACTGAAGATCAGGATGCACAAGCTAAATCCTTGCTATACTAACTTAGAGATGCTAATATTTATATCCTAATATCACCTCCAAAATTTTGTATCCCTTGTGAGGACTTGATTGAGATTGTCAAAATCAGCTGCCAAAAACAATATAGAGTCATCGCACATGCAAATGATAAATATGTACCTTATCACTCCCCATATTTATACCTCTTATCTCATTCTCTATCACCCTCTCTCTAACATTCTCCCAAGAAAATCAATTACTTAAGTGAAAAGAAAAGCAGAAATAAGAAACCCCCTATTGTAACCCTCAAGCTGTCAAAATCTACTCTCCAGAGGTACCAATGACAATAACTGGAAAATAGACATTTAGACAAACATCCACAACTCCAATGCTTCCACAGTTTACCGAATCCCTTGCACTTGAGCTACATCAAGAAAATTTCGACTCACTTAAAATATGCCTTCTCAAAATCTAGCTTGGAAACCACCACCTTAACGCCTTTTGGACAAGCCACATCAAACTATTCTTTAGCAACACATGCCATCAGGATTTGTCTTTCCTCTACAAAAGCACTTTAAGACTATGAAACAGGGTATGAAAATCCTCTCCCCATTGATTTACAAATGCCTTTGTAGCAATTTTGCAAGCACTAGTAAGGAGACTATTAGGGACTAGGGAGCAAGCCCCTTACCTTAATTGAGAGTCTTTCTAGATAACCAAAAATATAAAATTTAAATTCATGCCTTAGTAGAAAATCTATAATCATGAAACTCCAAAATATAGAGTTAAAAATTAAAATTAAATACAACTAAAAAAAAAAAAAAAACATAAAGCATATCACTATTGATTACAAATTTTAAACTTATTATGGATGAAATATGCCAGGTTAACCCATTTGGGAGGACTTGTTCTTTTCAACATTATTTCAGAATCAAACCAAAAATATTCAGAATAAAAGTGTTAATTTCCTTATATTGTTGCGAATATCTTTGTTCTTTAATTGCATAGTAATATATACATATATATATATATATATATATATATATATATATATATATATATATATATATAATGCTAACTCTTCCTCTTAGTTTTTTTTTTTTTTTTTTTTTTTTTTTTTTTTTTTTTTGAAAAAGCAAAAAGAATATTATTAATCACCAAAACAAACAATCTTTACAAATCTGCTCCTAAAGCAGATCAAACAACTCATCCAGTCCTACCCAGGAACAAAATACTCCTAAATCAGTTTATGTTATTCCTGCTTGTTTTAACAGGAGTAACAAAGTAACAAAGCTGATTTTCTGAAAAACTACAAATTTCAAGTCCTTGGTCACAGCTTCTAGACATCTCAGACACTTATCCCAAACCACCTTGTTCCTCTGCTGCCAAATGCAGTAAATAAGCCAGCAAAACAGCTCTGAATGACTCTCCTTCTGAACCTCCCTGAAACCTGATCCAGCTTAGAATTACAATCCTCAATACGCACAAGATTAACTTGGACCCTAATCTCATTAGGCAACTGAGAATAACACTTCCTGCTGTACTAGCAATAAAAAAAATAGATGATCAATAGTCTCAGCTCAAGATTACAAAGAGGACAAAGATCATCACTCATAATGCCCCACTTTGCAAGCTAAAATTTAACTTTGATCCTTCTCCACATGACCAACCAGCAAATGAATCTGTGTTTAGGAACATTAAACCTATTCCAAACCCAGTTACACCAGTCAACTGTACTAGAATCCTGAGTTGACCAAGCATAACCACTAGCAACTGAGTAACCCTTAGGATTAGCAAGCCAAGCATCATTTCTGAACCCATCTTTCAGATTATCCTTAACCCACCAGATTTGCATCTAGTTCCAGCTGCAATCTAAAGGGCACTTGAACATCTTTCAGTTTTACCCTTCTTCCTAGTTAGTCTCTTTTTTTTTTTTTTTTTTTTTTTTTTTTTTTGAAGAACTAGTTAATCTCCTTTTTATTATTGCTAACTCTTCCTCCTACCCTTCACTACTTCTAGAAGATATCAGAACTACAGGACACACATACCCTTCCTCGCCCACAGGAAAAGTCATGGTATGAGATGTACAATCATGTTTAATCAAATGTATGCCAAAATTCACTCAACCATTACTAGATTATTTTGGGCATCCAAACAGAATTTCAGAGTTCAGATCTCAGAAATATATAAAATCAACCATTTCTGTATCATGCAAAGCCTTATCCTAAACTGTCATTTCCAGCAAAAACAAACTAGTTGATATCAACTGTTTCTCACAATACTTCACAATTGATGACAAGTAAGAAAAATCACAACCGCTACTGTGATTCAAATACCATTTTTTTTTTTCTAAAGTGTGTAATTCAAATGCCTTTAAGGCTCTGTTCACTCTACCATAAAAATAAAATATTTGGTATATATAGTTTCATTTAAGTATAAATAATTTCATTTAAATAAAAATCAATGACTTTAAAGAATAAATATAATTAAAAATCAGTTAAACTAATTTCCGTTTAGTAAGAACAATTTAAGTTTTAGTAATATAATTTCAATTCAGCAAAAATAAAGTAAAATGAACCAAATGAAAATAATTATATACTTTGTATATATATACAAGTAAAGTTTTATTTTATTTTCTCTTCGTGATTAATATATGCTCTATCTTTCTTTCAAAAAGTTTTTTTTTTTTTTTGAATAAACAAGTACTCGTACTCCGTAATAGTTACTTCTCCTTCCGTCCTAAATTATATTGCTCCTTTTTATTATGTGAGGAATAAATGCTAAAAATAGAAATGTAATTTAGGGACGGAGGGAGTAGTCTGTTCTAATATAATAATTTCCATTCAATTTTTCAGCTCATAAGTGCGAACATTCATTATAAGAGCAACTCCAATGGTTGGAAAAATGGACTAGCTTGCAAATATTAAATATCTTAAGCTATTAGTTACACTATTGTTGCACATCTTGTTGATTAGCTTTGGCAAGCAAATTAGCTTTGTAGAGCTAATTAGCTTGGAAAATATTTATTAGATAAAAAATATTATTAATTTATAAATAAATTAATTTACAACTAGCTTAACCATTGGAGCAACAAATAGCTTGAATTGTTATAGCTGAAGATGATGTGGCATGCCAAGCTATTAAATAAATGAGCCAAGCATTGTAGTTGCTCTAAATTCTTATAATTACATAACCATTAAAAATTATTGATACAAAATCACAAAAATAACCCAAAAACCAACCCACCTCGATATAATCCAAAAAAAATATAACCCATTTCCCCAAACATGATATTTCAGACAATTTAAAGCAGAAAATCAATCCAAAACATAATCAAACATTCAAACCAACCTGGAGATAACTAACCAAATATTGAAAAACCCCAAAATCAACAACAAAAAAAAAATGAAGCAAAAATTACCAGTAAGATGTTGGTAAGCAATGTTAGCAACCAAATTGTGGGCTTCTTTAGAAGATTTGGAGGGATTTGGAGTAGTAAAAGTTGAGCCATTTACTGTTACAGTAGCCTGAAACTGAGGGCAATGATCAAGCCCTTCTCTTGTAGTCGAGTATTCTGGAAGATTCCATTTTTTTGATTGACAATACTCTTGTAATTTGGATTTGAACATTTTTTTTTTATGTTGTTTATTTTCTGTGTTGCCCTAAATTTGAAGAAGTATCAAAGAGTAAAAATAAAATTGCTGGAGAAAGAAAAAGAAGAAGAAGAAGAAGAAGAAGAAGGGAGGAAGTGTAAGAAACAGAAAAAAAAAAATTAGGTGAATGAAAGTAAAGATGACAGATGTTAGCTATGTTGCAGAACGCAGATTGATTATAACTTTATCAGTCCTAAACTGATTTGGTAATTTTGGGAAATGACCTCATCTCGGCGACTTGGCTATTGAGATAGGTAATTTTGGTAATTTTGGGAAATGACCTCATCTTTGTAATAGTATTCTTTGGGCATGTTTGGCAAGTGGGAGTTGAGGGTGGGATTGGGAATTTTAATCCCAATTGAAAAAATAAGTCTTATTTGTTTGGTGAGAATGGGAATAAAAAGGGGTTTGGGAATGAGATTATTTATGGGTGAATTCTCACCATCTAATATATAATCCAACTTTCATTCACAGCATTCCAAATTCCCATCCATGCAATTCTAGCCCTTCTATTTTTTAATTTTTTTTTTTTTGAAAAAAAATAACCAATAATCACCATTGTTAGTTTGTTACTCATAACTACCCGTATCACTCAATTAAAATCTAGCCCTCTATTAAAAAAAACAACATAATAAAGAGTGTTTTTTTCTCCAACTTTCATTCACAACACTCCAAATTCCCATCCCTGCAATTCTAGCCCTCCTATTTTTTAATTTTATTTTTTTTTGAAAAAAATAACCAATAACCACCATTGTTAGTTTGTTACTCATAACTACCCGTATCACTCAATTAAAATCTAGCTCTCTATTAAAAAAAATAAAAAAAAAATAAAAAAAATAACCACCCTTTAATAACTATCACTTCTATTATTTTATTACTTAGGGAGGGTAGGTAATAAATGGATGGGAATGGAAATAGGGGGAAAATGACATTTTTGCCATTAATAAAAAGAATAATATAATAATCTTAGTAAGGGTATTTTTGTAAAATTGTTATTTATTTTCTATATATTTCTACCCACTATCCAAACAAGGTATTGGCATATTTTCATGTATTCCCATCAATCAATTATCAATCTCATTCCCACCTTTTAATCTCCAAACTCCCATTCCCACAATCCAAACGCCCCGTTTATTTCATAATAACCGCAATAATAAATATTGTACTCCCTCCATCCTAAAATATAGTTCTTGTTTGTATTTTTTTACGGTATTTAAAAAATAGGAGTAAAAAGTGGATAAAGTACATTAATTAAAGTGAAAAGTACAACTACAGTCAAAAGTTACAGAGATAAAGTAGAATAAAGTAGAAGGCATCTGCAAATTTCAAAGGTAAATAAGAAGTACAATGAATAAAGAAAAAAAGTGAGGGTATAATAATGATCTTTACTAATTGTTCAAAAATAGAAACAAGAACAATATTTTGGTTCTCCAAAATAGGAAAACATGAACTATATTATGGGACGGATGGAGTAATTAAAAAAAGTTACTCCATATTTTAATAAATGATGTAAATTAAGGCTTTTTTTACCTTAAAACATTAAAAATAGTTTCACTTTAGCAAAAATAATTTCAATTCATAAAAATTAAGGTTAGTGAAAAGAGTGCTAGTATAAAATATATAAAGATTAAAAGTATTAATATTGTACTTTTAAGAAAATTATTACATTAGAATATGGAGGGAATATTTTTAATATATACTTAGTTCATATTTTAATACTCTCTCTTTATTTTAAACTAATTAAATATTTTGAAGAGTCCCTCGACTAGGGTTGAGTAGTCCTTGTCTAGGGTGTGTAGTTTCGTTCAGTTTTCAGTGAGAAATCGTGTTTTGTGCCCTGTCTTTCAATCTTTGTGTCATCTCGAATTATGGAATCGGATTTAATCAAGGATTGGGAGAAGTTTTCTCTTATGGAAGAAGAAGAAATTGTTGTTGGAAGTGGTGAGAATGCTGATTTGGGTGTTGGATCGAATGATCAGATTCATCTAGCGCTCGTGGGCAAATTATGTACGGTCAAAACTTTCAGTATTGAAGCGATGAAGAAAACATTGAATTCTATATGGAAGATTAGTGACAATTAGCAATAAATGCTATCGATACGAATCTTTTCGTGTTCCAGTTCTTTAAGAAGGAAGATAAAGAGAAGATTATGGAGGGTAGGCCATGGTTTTTTGATGGCAAGTTGTTGTTGTTAGGAGATATCCAAGGAGGGGAGCAACCGTCCGAAATTGAATTTTTTTCCTCACCAATGTGGATTCGTCTCTTTGATGTGCCGTTTAACAGGAGATGTGCTTCGTTTATGTTCGATTTGGGTGAATCCCTTGATGGTTTTCTTGAATTAGATGATTCTAACCCTTTAGGGTGGGGGGAATTTATGCGAATTAAAGTGGAGATTGATGTTCATAAACCCCTCAGGAGGGGGGCAGACCCGTATCTGAGCCGGGGCAGCCGGGGCGACTGTCCAGGGCCCCAAAAAGTAGCCTAAAATTTTGTTATAATCAAATTAAATGCAATAAGTGCCTGGTGTGTTGATTTGTCCTACTAGCCAGCATTAAAGAAAAGAGTAGGCTTTTCTATATGGTCGGAAGTTCGATTACCACTCCCTTGTATTTTTGGAAAAAATTCCTTTTTGTCATTTACTCTGAATAAAACACTTTCGTCCTTCCCTTTTCACTATCTTTTCATTATCAATCAAAAATATATTTTTATCTCTACATTATCTTATGACCCATGCATAACGTTAGTAACCAAATTAGTTTTGAAATATATCAGTCTTGTTTTGACTAATTGGCTTGCTATGTGAGATACTTGTATCTGCACAAATTTGTTGTTAATTTTAGGTACTTTATGTACTTATTGTTTTTAGTAGTGATATATGCAAATATGCATTATATTTACTTTGTACAAAATACTTATACTTAATAACACAATATATATTAATAGCGAGTTAGCTAAAAGTAAATTATTTATTCAAAGTAATAATCTTACAATATCCAAGTAAAAAAACCTAGATCGAGAAGTGAGAGAAAAGAAAAGCCAACCAAAAGCTACCATGTCAATTGTATGAAGTATATTTCCCAATTAACGGACTATATTTTTTCAACCATACACAATGGCTTGCAAAGCTAAGATGATCATTGTTTACCATCCCGAAAAAAAAGAGAATTTTCTGGTGACAACTTATAAGTGGTTTTCTCCTTTCTAATTCTAGTAGTTCTCTACATATAGCCGGAGAAAGTTAGTGGGAATCGATAGTTATTAGAGTAGTTACTTTTTAAAAAATAATACTTCATAGTAACAAAATTTGAGAATTAGTTACATATAATTAAAATAGGGCACCAATAATCCTTCAAAAAAAATAATAGGGCCCCAATATATTAGTTCGCCCTAGGCCTCTAAAATATCAGAAACGGCCCTGGAGGGGGGTTTTGTGGCTGGGAATGGTTCGAAGTCTCAATGGGTCGATATCAAATATGAACGGCTTGGCGACTTTTGCTTCTTCTGTGGTAGATTAAACCACACTGACAAGGAGTGTCAAGCTAAAGAAGTGAATGATTATTCGGCTAGTGCAATTGTGTATCAATATGGGACTTGGCTTAGGGCCTCTCCATTAAAACCATCTTTGAAGTTATTTTCTGTTCATGAGAAGGAGAGAGTTTGGGGGGGGGGGGGGGGGGAATTGGTTGCCATTCGGGGGGAGAAATTGGTTGCCATTCGAGGGGAGAGTGCCTCGAGCTCAAATTCGGTTAAACCAATTAAGCTGGCTCCTGTTGGTGTTGCAAGGAAATTATTTTTTGCAACTTGAAAAGAGGTTACTAAGGAAGTGCATCCTAAAGCTCGAGAAGCCAAGCTTGCGCTTGTTTTTGATGTGGCTAACAACAAGGAAGTCCTAAGGCCAAGGGGCTTAATTGATAGCGTGACAGACCCTCTCCCAGAGGGTATTAACAAGGCTCTTGATGTTGCTATGGCTGGTGTCAAGGATAATGGTGTTGGGTGACTATGGCAGACAGAAGAATGTGGGGGGTTGTATGGAGAGTGTAGGTGCGGGTAGTGTGGAGCTGAGGGTTTTAGTGAGGGTGTTGAAGCAGGGGCGGGTAAGAGTATAAGTGTCAAGGGTGGCAAAAATAAAACTCAAAGGACATGGAAAAGGGTAGCTAGGATGGAGGAAGGGTATAGGGGAAGGGGTGCTGCTGACCACAAGGGTGGGAATGGTGGTGAGGGTGGGGGAAAGAGGGGTGGGTCGAATATGGTGATACATGATCAGACTTGCAAGAGGAGGAAGGGGGCTTTAGAATTTATTACTAGAAGCAGTATAAACAAAGTAGAGGGGAGTGGTGGTGGCCACACCCTCGAAGAGCAATGAAACTCTTAAGTTGGAATGTTCGAGGGGTTGGCAATTCAACCCTTGGACAGAGAGAGCCCTCCGATATTTGTGTTGGAGGGAAAGGCCGAATGTAGTGTTTTTTATGGAAACGAAGATTGATAGTAGTGTATTGGAGAGAGTTAAAAGGAGGTGTGGTTTCGACAATGGAATGTGTCTTAGGGCCTGTTCTCTTCCGTTGAAATTCAGTTCAGTTCAGTTCAGCTCTTAATTTACGTCTAATAATATTGCTAATGATATAAAGCCAAATTTCATTCTTTTAAGCTCTTATTACAACGACGACAACAACAACAACAACAACAACAACAACAACAACAACAACAACAACAACAACAACAACAACAACAACAACAACAACAACAACAACAACAACAACAACAACAACAACAACAACAACAACAACAACAACAACAACAATAATAATAATAATAATAATAATAATCAATAAGTAATAAATAATAATAATAATAATCATTAATCAATAATAATAATAATAATAATAATAATCAATAAATAATAATAATAATAATAATAATAATAATCAATAAATAATAATAATAATAATAATCAATAATTAATAATAATAATAATAATAATAATAATAATAATAATAATATTATTATTATTATTATAAATAATAATAATATGTACATTTGTATATACACATAATAATCAATAAATAATCAAAGATCACTAATAATAACAACAACAACAACAACAACAACAACAACAACAACAACAACAACAACAACAACAACAACAACAACAACAACAACAACAACAACAACAACAACAACAATAATAATAATAATAATAATAATAATATTAACAACAACAACAACAATAATAATAATAATAATAATAATAATAATAATAATAATCAATAAGTAATAAATAATAATAATAATAATCATTAATCAATAATAATAATAATAATAATAATAATCAATAAATAATAATAATAATAATAATAATAATAATCAATAAATAATAATAATAATAATAATCAATAATTAATAATAATAATAATAATAATAATAATATTATTATTATTATTATAAATAATAATAATATGTACATTTGTATATACACATAATAATCAATAAATAATCAAAGATCACTAATTCGTAGTTAAAAATCACTAATTAATAAGTTCAGTTCAGTTCAGTTCAGTTCAGCTGAGTTCAGTCAATCGGAACAGGCCCTTAGTAGTGTTGGGAGGTCGGGAGGATTGGGTTTTTGGTGGCGTGATGCTCACATTGATATTGTTTCATATTCTATACACCACTTTGCAGTTGATGTGTGTGATAGAAATGGGGTCCCGAGTTGAAGAGCTATAGGTATTTATGGGTGGCCGGAGAGCACAAACAAACATAAAACGTGGGATTTAATGAAAACTCTGAAACTTTCGTGTACTATCCCATGTGTTATGTTTGGGGATTTTAATGAAATTTTTAGTATGTCCGAGAAGGAGAGTGGTGTGGTTAGGAGGGAATGTATGATGGATGGTTTTCGTGATGCTATTGATGTCTATGGGTTGAAAGACTTAGGGTATAAGGGTTGCAAATTCACGTGGCAATAGGGGAAATCGGAGGATAATTTAATCAGAGAAAGGCTTGATAGATTCTTGGGTGATGATGATTGGTGTGAAATGCATCCAAACTTCTCAGTTAGACACTTGGTGCGTGAAGAGTCTGACCATGCCCCGATATTATTGGATACTCTGAATTACTATGATAGAGGCAAGGGTGGGAAACTATTTCGTTTTGAGGCTATGTGGCTCTCGAATGAATCTTGTGAAGCAGTGATATCGAAGGCTTGGGGTGAAAGTGCGGGTTTAGAGACGCATAACCGAATTGAGCAGTGTGCTTTGGGCCTTAAAAAAGTGGTCTGCTTCCACTTTTAAAAATACACAGAAGAAGATTAGAAGACTTCAGAAAGAATTGTTAAAAGGTGCAAGGAGGTCATGTTGATGCAGCTATGTTGGAAAGTTGTGAGAAGATTTTGGATGAGTTGGGTGAGTTGAGAAGGTTGGAGGAGTCGTAGTGGTATGCGAGGGCTCGGGCGAATGAAATGCGGGATGGGGACAAAAACACAGCATATTTTCATCGGAAAGCGAGTCGACGGAGGAAAATGAACCGCATTTATGGATTGCTCAATAATGATGGGGTTTGGAGAGAAGATGAAGAGCAGATTTGCAATATTGTTGCGGAGTATTTTTCAAACCTTTTTTCTTCTGATAATCCGACCGAATTCGATGAAGCTACTGCTGGGTTGAGCACGGTGGTGAGAGATGCTATGAATGCTGTGTTAGAGGAGGAGCCGACTTCTGTGGAGATAAAAAAAATGCCTTGTTCCAAATGCACCCTAATAAAGCACTGGGTACGGATGGTATGCACGCCTTGTTTTTTCAAAAATTATGGCATATTCTTGGTCTTGATATTGTTAGACTTGTGCAAAATTGGTGATTAATAAAATAATTTCTAAAACTATGACAAATAAATTCAAGTTGTTCCTTGATGAGATTATTTCTATAAATCAGCGTGCTTTTGTTCCGGGGCGATTAATAACAGATAATGCCTTGATTGCTTTTGAGATTTTTCATTCGATAAAAAGGAAAGGTGAAGGTAGAAACGGGACAATTGCGCTAAAATTAGACATGAGTAAGGCCTATGATAGAGTTGAATGGTGTTTTTTGGAAAAGGTGATGATCAAGATGGGTTTTTGTGCTAATTGGATTCGCCGTGTTATGGATTTTATTTCTTGTGTTTCATTCTCTTTTAAAGTGAATGGTGATATTTATGGGTCGGTTACTCCATCTAGGGGTCTCCGGCAGGGTGATCCTATTTCTCCCTACTTATTTCTTTTATGTGCAGATGCTTTCTCTACTCTGATTTCAAAAGTTGTATATGAGAGAAAGCTTAGTGGGGCGAACATTTGTCAGTCAGGTCCAAGGATCTCACATCTCTTCTTTGTTGATGATAGTATTTTGTTTGCAAAAGCTACTCTGCAGGATTGCTCGAAAATTGCTAAAATTATCAGTACGTATGAAAGAGCATCTGGTCAGAAAGTTAATTTGGGGAAGACAGAGGTTGCTTTTAGTAAATGTGTTGCTAGTGATCGGAGGAATGGCATTACTAACACTCTTGGTGTTCGTGAAGTAGAGAGACATGAGAAGTATCTAGGATTGCCTACTATGATCGGAAGGTCTAAGAAAGCCATTTTCACCTGCTTGAAAGAGAGGATATGGAAGAAGTTGAATGGATGGAAAGAGAGGCTTCTATCGAAACGGGGAAAGGAAGTTCTAATTAAATCACTAGTGGAAAAATAGCTATCCGTAACGGGCGAAAAAGGCCTATCCGAAACGGGCATCCTGCGTTACGTATTTCACCATTACGGATAGCTAGTGTTATTTGTAATGAGCAGTGTCCGTTACAAATAACCCGTTATTCGTAACGGACATTTCAAGTGCCCGTTACAAATAAGTCATTATTTGTAACGAACACTTGGAATGTCCGTTACAAATAACAAATAACGGGTCATTTGTAACGGGCATTTCAAGTGCCCGTTACGAATAACGGGTTATTTGTAACAGGCATTTCAAGTGCCCATTACAAATAACCCGTTATTCATAACAGACATTTAAAGTGCCCGTTACAAATAACCCGTTATTTGTAACGGGCATGGTATCTGCCCGTTACAAATAATTTGTACCCAATTTTAAAAAAAAATCCATTAGCTAGCTTGCATTAAAATTATAGCACAATTATTTATTTTTTTATTTTAATTTTTTTATTTTTTTGAAGAAACCCTCAACGGGTACTAATTAAATAAATCAGAAGAAGCTACATCAAGGATATGAGTCGGGATTACATCAAGCCACATTCGTTGACCCACATGCCAAGGTTTAAAACAAGCCAACTCGTTAGCTACCCTATTTCCTCTTCTTTTAACAAACGACCACAAAACACTAACAAAAATTATTACAAATTAACAGAATATCCTTGATGACTAAATGAAACTCACTAGAACCAGCTTCTTTACTTCTCAGAGCTTGAATGACTTGCAGACAGTCACTCTCCACAATCACTTCCTGCAAACCAGAGCTTGCTGCCAACCGTAAACCCCATAGTATCGCTTGCGCTTCAGCCACCCTCACCTCCCAACTTTCCTCTCCTTGCTGCACCCCAGCTGCTAAAACCGTCCCCTCGCCACTCCTAATCACAGCACCAAGACCACAGCCCAGCTCCCCCACAAACCCAGCATCCACATTGACCTTAGCAACCCCCATAGCAAGCGCCTGCCAGCGAACAGGAGCAGAAACCCCCCCAGCCACAGTCTGACCAGCACTCCTCCCTGCAGAACCTGCCTCATAAACCTCTTCAATCGTCTTCAAAGCATAACGCACAACATCAGTAGGATCTTTTCTCACACCTTCCACCACCAACGAGTTCCTAGCCCCCCAAATTGCCCAGCAGATGGCAATTACATTAGTCACATTAGGAACATCAAGCTCCAAGAAAATAGAACCCCACCAATCAACCACATTTTGAGACCTCATGGAAGAAACAAATTCATAATCAGACTTACTCTAAATTCCCTTTGCGTACGAACAATTTTTCAAAGCATGAATGGTATTCTCAAAGTCCCAACTGCAAATAGAACAATCCGGGTCATAACTATGAATACGAGATAAAAATTATACAATCAGCAAAAAAAATACATTTATATCCTGCTTAGCTACTGCTCACTAGTTCACTGCATCAACTTTCATGACCCTACGACTTTTCTTTTTATCCTTCTTTTCTTTTACATACAAATATACATTGCATTATTGTAATGCCTCCCAGCCTATGAGTCTATGAATTTATAGCCTAGTGGAAAATAAAAAACAAAAATTACCAACGGAGAATTATTACAACATAGCCTCATCCTTTAAGTTATTTTGTATCATTTCTCTTTAAGTCGTCTCTATAAGTGGTTTTTAATAAATGATCTAAGCATATTTACCGATTTATTTAATAAAAGTCTTAATAAAAAGGAATGACTATATTTAAATATTTTAGGAATAGTATTAGTTTAGTACGGCGTACAAGGATATCAATTGTTGGGAAAGTTTAGAAATTATACATACTCAAGATTCGAGATCAGTTTCATCTACTCTACTAGCCTTTGTGGCTCAAACTGTACATAACTACATACTTGTATGTTTTAATAGGTCAAATTAACAACTTGAAATGGAGTATATTATCCTTTTTTTTATTGAACTTGTTTGCACCAGGTCAATCAAAGGACAATAACACAGATAGAAACCTACCACTACCATGACTTACATTGCACCATTCACTGATTTTTAATTGGAACATCAAGCAGGGTACACAGCACAAGTTGTTGTCGTTAACACTTTAACAGTATAAAACCTTGGCTGAAATCAATTCTAAACCACATTAACATTACCAACACCACTGCTACGACTCCACAATTCCACATTACAGAAAAACAAGAAGCTCCAAGGGGTACTATTGAAAATCTGGAAACTTTTGGTTGTCAAAACTCAAATCCTAGAATATTCCAGCTGAATTTGGAGCACCTATTCTTTTATCTTTCTGGCATTGTCTGTTAAATGTGCTTTGTTAAAGAAAGAGTTGAGTGGAGAAATTTTTGTATTGCTCGTGTATTTGAAAAAAAAAAAGTGAAAAGAATAACTAGTTTATTTGCCTACCAACTGCAGATCATGCTCGTCCAACTAAGATACTATTCCTACAAGCTAAGGCTACATAAATTAGTATTATACATAATACATGCAAACCAACTTTTGGTTGTCACCCCGCCTTAGGTTTCTCGGTAATCATCGGGGACCAATCAGGACCACTAAGTTAACTAATTCATATATAAACTTAACTAAAAGATTTACTACATCCAGGGCAAACAAATGCAGTCTCGAAGTAAAACCTCGATCAATGAAGGATTGATGAACAGATTCTTGAGCTAATCTATACCATACTATCAAATCTCCGAAATAACTAAATATGTATTAGCTCAATTATTAAGTTATAAAGGGATCAATTTCTGGACCTCCAATGTAAAAAAGTTCCACAAGTGACATAAATAAATAAAAAAAGGCACAAATTACTGATTTAAACGAAAAAGACTGGCGAAATAACTAAATTAACATTCAAAGTAAGCTAAAAAAATCAAACAACTTTTCATTCGATAGTCACCAAAAAAAAAAAAAAAAAAAAAACAAATCAAAGCATAAGCAATACAGATCAGAACCTGATTTCTGATCCAAATCACAAACAAATCAATATTAAAAAAAAAAAGATAAATATTCCCTGAGTGTAACATTACTAGCATATATTTTGTATTAATTTTAGCCGTCCATTGTTTATTATATAATAATGGTCCTGATTTTGCGTTATGATCATATTACTACTCTTGTAGTCTTGTTCAACAAAGAACAATATAATTACTAATAGAGAGCTTAACCATGCTAGCATATAATGTTCTTTAAAATAAAATTGTTTAAAATTCAATAAAACCATGGTCAGATTCAACAAAATCTTATCATATATAAACAAAATCTGCTCACCAAATTCGCAGAAAGATGACAAGTCCCTCAGCAACTGTGCTAAAATACTGCCACCACCCTTGAAAAGAAGTGTACTCTTGCAGTCGTTTCTATTTAAGCTTTTCACAATCATCAGTTCCGTCTCAGGCATTCCACTGAAAAATCACCAAAATAAATCAAGTTACATGCTTCCCCTCGCTCCCGTATTCCACAACATTCATATCAATAACAAAAGGCAAAATGGCCAGCTGAACTATTCAGAATTATTTAGAGTAATTCAGGCACTAGCTCAAAAATTAAGCAGAGAAAGCTACATGGTTAACAAAACCCACAAGTCCACAACAACCCCCACAGCATCAATCCCCGTAGTGCCATCACACAGGTGCAACAAGAGTAAACAACAAATAGCAAGTAAAATCATATATTCAAGTATTTAACACGACAGAAAGTGGCACTCAGCCTAAAGATAAGGTATATTGATACCATAACAAGGGCCACATTTCAAAGTGACCTGTAGAAGATTCGGTAAAACGTGGCGCAAAAGAGAGGAATTCGAAAATGTCCTGTGGGTGCGTAGAAATGGGTGGGTGTTTGATAGCACGCAAAGGGGTAATATCAACCACACCTAATTTTGCACAAAACAATAAACCCTAAATCAATCAAATTAAAACGCATACACCAACATACAAAAATTGAAAACCATTAAAATGATAAGGAGAATGGAATTACCATGAGTGCAAAAAACATCTAGGGCAAAAACCCAAGGATTACGGGAAAATTCTTCCCAATAATCTTCTTGAACCCTACGAATGTACTCCAGAGTGAAAATCTCAGGGACTGAAAATCAAATCGATTGGTTCGGTGCATAGCGGCTTGGATGGCGGCGGCAGGACTAAGAATGAGCTTCAGTGCTCCGAGAAGACCGACTATTAAACCTAAACCCATTTAAATCAAAATAAATTCTTTTTGCTCAAGATTATCAACGACAAATGCACATAAGAAATTCTAGCAGCAAAATTGATTGTTATAATCTTTAATAAATTGAGCAATATAACAAATATTTCAATAATTCACCACAAAATATCCTGAATTTGACTATAATGATCTAAAAAATTGATACTCAATGGTTAATAAATGAAAAAAAAAAAAAAACAGAATTTACCTCTGATTTTATTTCAATAAGGAGTTAAAGCTCATAAGTTTCTACAATGGAGCTTCGACGGAGGTGAATTACTCAAGCTTCAGCATTATCGCTTTGAATACGGAGGTGAATTACTCAAGCTTCAGCATCATCGCTTTGAATCGGATTTCAGAGATTATACATGGACGAATACCAAAAAAATCATACTCGAAACGTCGATCTTTAAATAATTGGTCCAAATAAGTTGACAGAAATTCACAATTCAGATCTAAATAACGAAGATCTGCAATTCAAAGTTGTAGATTGAGGAGAGAGAATGAGCGAGAGAGAGAGAGAGATAGAGGGGGGGAATGGCTGATGGGAGAAACGAAATAAAACCCTAATGTGTCCTAACACGTGATTGATTTGTAACGGACCATATTTGGCCGTTACGATTAGAGCAGTAATTGTAACGGACAAATTTTTGTCCGTTATGAATACGGTTTATTTGTAACAGTCAAATTTTCGCCCGTTACAAATATCAGTTATTTGTATCGGACCTACTGTAGACACCCATTTGTGTCTCCCCAAAACCAAACCCAGTGATGAGTATATTTCATATCGAATCATAATCGAATGAAGTGAAAGTGTGGAAAGTCTAGTGTTGCGGATAGTTTTATTTTCTTTTCTCTTCTCTTTGTTTTTGAAAACTTATTTTAAGAAAACAGTCAATCCAGTTTGGTTGGTCCATGGTATGGGTCCAATAGTAGTGTAGTTGGATGGGGCTTGACAAGAGTTTTCCAACGATATATTATAAGCCCAATTCCGATGAATATTGAGGAAGTTATGGCCAATTTACTAAACTGGGCCCGGTTTGAGCCTTATATGCGGCCCAATGATCTAGGGGAGGGCCTAATGGATTTATCGTTCCTAATGCAATTAGGAATGGTTTTAGTTTTCTAGGTTCTTCTAGAAGGTTCTTTTCATTCCTAAATCAATTAGCATTGATAAATTGAATTTTGTTGACTTTTTATAGTTTTAATTAGAATCAAAGAACATTTTTTGAGGGAAATACGATTATATCCTCTTGTACGACAATTTTTATCTAATTTTAAGAAAACGCGTGGATTTCTGAGTCAGCGCCAAACGCCAGCTGTTGGCGCTTGGCACTAGACTTGGCGCCAACTCGGTTTTTTGCGTCAGAACTCGATCTGTTTTTGATATTTTATCTTTTGGTTGATTTTTTTTATAAATAACGTCGTAAAAACTCCGTTTTGATTCACCAACTCTCATCAAGATTCTCTTGATTATTCTCTCTCTTTTTTCTAAACTAGCCTTCTCTCAAATACAAAATTTCGCATTCGCAAGACTTAGATACACCTAGCCATATTCGAAGTTGCCTTCGCCCTAGACGTGAAAGGTTTAATTTCTGAGGGTTTGGTCCCAAATCTCTATTTCCATTATTTAATTTAATTTAATTTAATTGTTTATTATTTTCCTTGAAGTTACTAACGCGTGTATTTTGTTATTAGAAAGAGGTACGAGGCATCAAAGTAAGTACTTTAATGGTTTTTGTTGATGTTATGATATAGAGTTCATGCTTAGGTTGTTATTATGATTCCTAGTATCATGTCTAGGGTAACTTTAATATCAAGTATGATTAAAAGTATGATGTCTTCTATTTTCTTTCCTAATATTTATGATTGTTAGTATCGTGTTAGGGTTAAAGCTTTGATTTTGATTGCTTAGTGACATGCTAGGGTTTGTTATTAATCTTGTTAGTATCATTCCTAGGATCTTGCTATTATTATGCTTTAACATGATTTATGATTATTATTATTTTTATGATTCATGATTATGGTTATGAATATTATTATTATTATAATTTTATGATTATTATTATTATTATGATGATTATATATTATGTTGCTTGATTAAATTTATTGTTACTGCATGTATAAAGGGAATTTGTATTTGTAATCACGCTCAATAAGATAATTAATAATCTTGTTTAGGGTTAATTTGATTATGATTCAAGTGATCGCCAATAATAGTGTTATTTGTGCATTAATATTCAACCAACATAGATGAACAGGTTTAGGGTAATCCTATTGATTGCATGTTAGTCAGAAAGCGCACATGAATACGATCAGAATAAAGTAGAGGCCTATTATTAGGGCAGGTTCAATCTCTTTTAGGTTGGATTTGTGCCTTCATCCCCGAACCCTATTTGGTTCAAGACCTTATGGAGTTGACTATCTCTTGGATTGTTAAGGGGTGTAACCTTCACATCGTGAACGGTTTACAAGTTCCTAAAAAACTTGTTGGCGACTCTTTTGCTTTATCTTCTTTCCCTTTGGACGCCACCGTACTTTAGTGTATGATCACAGTGGGGTTCAAGCTAGGGGTTAACGCTTGAAATATTCCCTACATTTTTTGGCGACTCCACTGGGGAGGATTTCTATTTTAATTCCTGAATTTGTTTCGGTAATGATTTAGAATGAGTGGATGAGACTCGAAACGTTCTAAGTATTTCATGTGCGTAATTTTAATTAACATTATTGTCATATGCATAAAAAAGATCTCATTGGAAAGACCATCCGTAATGAGTTAAAAACATAGGATTTTACACGTAGGAAATTTGAGAAATATCTTTCATAACTAGGACCGAAATAACACTGTGCGAAACTGGAAAATTTTATCGAGCACAGAAAGCTGCTGAGGCATGTAGGAATTAGCGCCAGGGGCCAGAGTATTGGCGCCATAATTTTAACTGTAGCGCCAGACGACAACTCTGTCGTCAGGCGCTACAGCTAAATCCTGGCGCCAACCTCTGTTTGTTGGGGCCAAATTCTTCCAATACCGAGCCAGAAATATGCGTTCTAATTTCGACCAGTTTTTCGCATTGTTTGCTCGATCCTACTTCCTGATTGAGTTTTTCTCACTTTTATGAAACCCATATGTGTTCTACATATGGACATAACCCTCTGGGAATTCATGCTCCATCTACCTGATTGAACGCTCTGAGAAACAAAGGGTACATCCGAGAATGTTGAATTCACCAAACCATGGAAAACGAGTTTTTTTTTTTCTAAATCTCGCGGTGTCCCATCCACTCGCGCCAACCCTTCACGGTTAGGATTCCGCGCGGTGCATCTGGACAATTAATTATGGACCCTCTATTGACTAAACCATATCCTGAACTTTAGAGAACTAGAGCCATGGTTAGGTTGCAAACTCATTGCATCATATTGTGCCTACTTGACTAATTGTGCATTATTTTTTGTGCATATACTATGATTTCTTAACCGTTTGTTTGACTTGTGTTGAGATTTAATAAATTAATGACTTAAAGAACTTTTCCTAATTAATTAATTGATTAATTAATTTGAGTAAATAAAGTCTAATATTTTAATCATAATTGACCTAGTATGACTTTAGGCATACCCCTGTTGATTAATAACACCGAAAACAGTCTCAGATTGAAGTTCCAGCATTGGCGCCAAAATATGAGCTGTAGCGCCACTCTGTGGAGTGTGGCGCCTGGCGACATCTCTATTGTCTGGCGCTACACTACACAGTGCGACGCCAGTCCTGTCGTTTTGCCGACAGTTCGGATTATTTGTCGAGTCATCACCTAGTGTCTAATTGACCAGTTTTCTAACTAATTCGGTTAATTTACTGTAAATAATACTTTGTTAAGTCATTAATCGAGTTTAGGCACTAAGTCCCATGGTCTTACACAAAAGTCCAAATATGTCACTTACACTCAATGCACACACCAATACACACACTTTGACCATGTCTAAGAGAGTCTTGCATGCGCGTTTTTTCCGTCATTTTTTAGGGGGGTAAGTCGGATATTAATCCTCCAATTTAAAAACTATACTTAGTTCCCTAAAAATATATACATTATATTTTTGCTAAAAATATGCACCCATTTTTATTTTTTCCTCTTTAAAACCGTAAAGTCAAGTCGATTTGGGTCAAGTAATTAAAACGCAAAATGGTTTAAATTACAGTGCGTGGTCAAGAAAGGAAGGACGGTTAATCAAAGACAACCTTTTCTTACAAGTCCAACTTTTCGACAAACCCATAGCTCATAAGAGGAAAGCTAGGACAATAATGGCAACACAAGAGGAAGTCAATGAGCTTAGGAACCAATTGGTTACCGTGACTGAGACACTGAAGCTCCTCACACTTAAGATTGATGATCCCGTGAAGCAACAACAGATGGACCTCATGCAAGAGAGTCTAAGTAAGCTATCTAGCGACTACAAGTTTCAAGGGATTAGTTCACATGGGGTCTCAGGTGGACAAAGATCTTCTTCCGCAGAAGTTCAATGCCAACGACATCCTGAAATTCAAAGCAACCGACAACCCTTATTTTCATTTAAGAGCCTTCGAGACATTAATGAGTATTAAGGGTATTGATAAGAAGGTTTTCCCCTCTCTGTTCTCACTATCTCTCGAGTCCGTTTTCCAACAATGGTTCTTTTCTCTCGAGAAAGAAAAGACCTCTACCTGGGAGTCCATAGCAAACGCTTTCGTTGATAGATACAAGTGCAACATTCAAGTTGAGACTGACCATAGGGAACTTGAAATCCTCAAGCAGAAAGAGAACAAAGGCTTCACCTCTTTCTTTAACAAATGGAGAGAAACCTCAGCTAAGATGATTGAGGTGCCAAGTGAAAAAGAGTCTGTAAGGTTATTCATCAAAAACCTTCAAGAAAAATACTCCAAGCATCTCAAGTATCAAAACAATCTCCATACCTTCAAGGCTGTTTATGACATTGGAATCAATATTGAAGACGACCTGGCGAAGTTAAAAGCTACCAACAATAACTCCAATAGTGGCTGGAAAGGAAAGAAGAATGACAATCCTTCTTCTTACAAAACCACCCACTCAAACAACGTTAGCACTTTTAACCTAGGTGAAGTCCTTTATATGAACAATCAAGGACAAAAGAAACCATTTAGGAGGAACTTTACTTCTATTGGCATGAGTTATGACACCGCGTTTGATCGATTAACTGCAAAAGGTCTTATAACTCCTATTGGACCGTTTGGGGACCCACCAGTTGAAAAGAGGTCGGTAATTGTAACCCCAATGCACACTGTAAGTATCACCAAGGCAGGGGCCATCTCACTGAAAACTGTTGGAAGCTTAAGGAAGCTATCTATAGGGAATATTTCAAGCGTTAATTCCCTATCTTGAACCCCACTGTGATCATAATTAAAGTACGGTGGCGTCCAAAAGGGAAGAAGATAGAGCAAAAGAGTCGCCAACAAGTTTTAGGAACTTGTAAATCGTTCATAGGGTGAAGGTTACACCCCTTAACGATCCAAGAGATCGTCAACTCCATAAGGTCTTGAACCAAATAGGGTCCGGGGATGAAGGTACAAATCCA